CGACTTCTCTGAGGTGGGCCCCCTTAAACACACTCTTATCTTCATGAGCACACTAATTGATGCACAGAATATGCTAATTAAACGAGGCGATGTGCTTAATTTATAGTAAATCGATAATGTTGATGATGAAGAAGAAATGTTAACAAAAATGATGTCTAGTCAAATGTATTTAACATCATTAGATGTAGTAAAACATTTAGAAAAAATTTAGACAAATGAAAAAGAAGTTCTTGCAAGTTATCTAGCTACTTTACGATCACCAAATGATTCAATAATGAATGTTCATAATAATCTGATAACATTTATTCTTTTTTGAAGTTTCATCTGTTCTTCCATCAAAATTTCGTCTCATATATGTTTAATTATTTAAACAACAATAAAATTTCTTTTTTTTCCACGTTTTGTTATTTAATGATCAAAAATTTAAAAATTCCAAAATACTTCGATATTCATCAATTATTCAAGATAATCAATTAATGAAAGAAAACTTTTATTATTAAAAGATAACTAAATATTCGACGTGTCAACATTAAATACTGTAAAATATTTTTATTAATTATCTTTTATTATTATTTTATTCTTTTAATTTAGAATCGTTCATCTTCTTTAATTTATACATTACGTGGTACAACAAATAAAGAAAAACTTGATAAACTTTAGCTTAAAATGCAAATTATTGTTAATTCTGTATTTGATAGTTCATTAGATAATCGAAGTGATAGTCGAGTAGCAAAAAGTATTCGAAAAATATGTCATATTTCGATATTTTATTTTTTTTAAAATAAAAGGCTATTGAAAAAAAAAAAGAAGGTTTATTTCGTATGCATATGATGGATAAACGTGTAAATTATGCTGATCAATCAGTCATATCTCCTGATCCATTTATTGCTACATATGAAGTAAGAATTTCTGAAATATTTGCAAAAAAAAATTAACTTATCCAGAATTAGTTATATTACATAATGTTCATGAATTATAACAATTAATTCTTAATGGACCAGATATACATACTGGGTATGGCTAAAAAACAAGAAATTATTCCGAAATAGAAAACAAGATTTATTTTAGATCATATTTTGTTGAACTTGAAAATGATACAATTCGACGTTTATTACCAAATAATTTATCTTAACGAACAGTTTGTTACAAAACTTTTATTAACAAAAGAAAAACAACATGGAAATACAATTTTAATGTCTATTAAAAACAATTTATCAACATCTGTCGAACTGGTGTTTATGTTCTTGCTAATCGACAACTAACATTACATCGATCAATGTATACACAAGCTCATATGATAAATTTATCCTTTAGAATTTTGAATTAATAACCAATGCGAAAGTCTTTAGAAAAATTTTGAGCCATATAGATCAGCCATTTTCGAAGATAAAAACTAATTTTTTTATTATGAAAGAACATAACAAATAGTAGAAAAATCTATATTTAATAGGACTGAATACAGTGAATTTCATCATATAGCTCAAAACTTCTTCCAAACATTCTCTATCATAGTTTGCAACATTTTTTTATCAAGTTCTTAAACCTTTGATTTGATGGTTCGAAATAAATGATTTATATTTTTTGTTTCCTAAAAATAAATGCTTGAATAGATTTGAAGACAATCTTTCTTTTTTGGACGTTGTTTAGCTTCTGGAAAAAGTGAAAGAGGAGAAACTCAACATGATGATGAAGGATCTTCAACGATTCAATATAAAGCAAATCCATATCCGATTGTTAAAGCACTTAATGATACTGAATTAAGAGAAAATATTAAACGAATTCAATTGATTGTTGTTACTTCACTTATTGATAAACAAACAAATTTAGGTGGTAAGTGTTATCATTGATTGTTCGTAATTTATTAAAATATTTAAAAAAAAAAAAAAAAAAAAAAAAGAAGATATTTCAAAAGACTATGTTTACAGGCAAAAAAGAAAATAGTTCCTACGTTGAGAAGAACGAAGATTACTTCATAGCATATAATTGATAATAAATAAGAAGAAATTTCTATGAAATGGATGAAGGTTAACGGTCACAATAATATAAGAAATAAATCATATATATATATATAGAAGAGAAATTAATAGATGTGTGAAACTTGCTGAATTTATTAATTTTAAAAATGATAGCGAAAGTGAGATAAATGGTATATCAATTTAAGTTTTTATTAAGCATTTTACTCGATAAATCGTGTCTAAACTTTGCATTCTGCTTTCTCTTTCATCATTTTGATATATTTTTTTTGTAGTTATCATCTTTTCAATATAATATAAGACTAAGATATCATTGATAGATGTTTAATTTTTTTGGTAATTTTCAAATTAAATTCTATTCAAAGAAATGATTATTTCTACGCGTAGCTTCCTAAATGAGACCAGTAATTAAGCCAATTAATATTAAAGTGGTCTCTTTTTTGGAACGGGAAAAATTGCATTGATCTCATTTTCATTATATTTCCAAAAAGAGACCACTTTTGATCAATTAGCGGTTAAGAAATAGGATCATAATCTGTCTGACTGATATAAGTACGAAAGTAGCGAAGGAGAAACACTTACACTTTATTAAATAATATGGAAACAAACTTTACTCTGTCAACAACGCAAAAAGGTGAAAAGGCGATTTTGTATAACAAATATCTATATCGATTAAAACGTGAAAATCAGAATGGCACACACCTCTACGTCTGTACATTTAATTGCTGCTCTCGCACGATTACCTTGAAAGATAATGCGATAATTAAAGTCAATGGCGAAAATCATAATCATGATCCAAAACTTCCGGAAAACGTTCAAACTGTACTTGTCGGACTAAAACGTCGAGTATTATCTGATATTGAAAAACCAATACCAACAATTTATGATGAGGAAGTCAAAACATTTGTGAGTATTTGTTCAGTATTTGGATTGTAGAACGATTATTTCTGTTCTTTCCCAGCGTCGGGAAAATGGCTCTGCAGCTACCATACCAGTGTTTGATTCATGGAAATCAACTCTATATTCTGTTCGTAAATCAATATTACCTCCGGTACCAACATTACTATCATCTATTGAAATTCCGCGTGATATGCATTTCAATAATACCAATCAACCATTCTTATTTTATAATTCACCAACGCCGCACAAAGTGATCGCGTTCGCATCTGAACCAGCATTGAAAATACTGAGCGAAAATCATCATTGGAACGCTGATGGAACATTTCGGACGTCGCCAGCATTATTTACTCAAGCATATTATATACACGTGTTTGATGAATACAGCATGAAACCAGTAGTTTATGCATGTTGCGAAGATAAATCTCAAGCTGGTTATGATTATTTATTTCGATCCTTAGTTGGCTATGCTGCAGAGAAAAAGATCGTTTTAAATCCGAAATCCATATTAATCGATTTCGAACAAGTCGTTGTAAACACGATTAACGATGTTTTTCCACAAACGTAAGTGAAAGCTTGCCATTTTCATTTTGCCAAAAATGTTTGGAAACGAATAAAAACATGTCATTTGACAAAACTATCGAAACAGGAAAATATTCGCCGTCAAATCGCTAATATCATTAGTCTACCAATGGTACCTCAAGATGAAATTAATCATTGTATGGAACGAATAATTGATGAATTATTGACTATTAATACAAAATTCGATAAATTAACAGATTATATTGTGAATAATTATATTGACGATGCTCGTTTTCCATTCGACATGTGGAATCATTTTGACTCGCTTGGTCAACGACCACGTACGAATAACCACTTAGAGGGATATCATAGACAACTCAATGCACGCGTGCGAACGAATCCAGATCTTTGGACACGGATTAATGAAATACGTTCATCGGAAGAGTCTGTTATGTGTCGCGTAGAACAAGAGCAAGCTCAAAAACGCTCGACAAGATCAAGAAAAGCAAGATATGCACGTGATGATGAAAAACTCAAGTTGGCAAAAACAAAATATATGCAAGATAAAGACTTCGATGCTTACCAAAAAGTTTTACGTGCTCTATCTCATCGGTATATTAACGTCATAGAAGATGCTACAGATAGTAGTGACGAAGACTCTTTTCATTGATTGTATAGTTTTCTTATCAATAAATATTTATTCTGATCTTAATCGTCAATTTTTCATTTACGTAAAAGTGGTCTCTTTTTGGAAACATATTAGAGATGAGATTAATGAAATTTTTCCCATTCCAAAAAGAGACCACTTTAATGTTAATTGGCTTATTTACTGGTCTCATTTCGGAAATAGCCATTGATAACACGTCATTTTGGTAAGTTAATTCAATCAAATTTCTTTGTTTGTTATTTATATATTTCTTTTTTTTGGCAAATGAATAATTAAATGTTTATACTAACTCAATAAATAATTCAACAAACGGCATGTAAAGACTTTTAGGTCTAGTCTGGTTTAAACAATGATTTTCTTCTGTTCTTTTAGACCAAACGGTATATCTTACACAATGCACCTACATATGTATATATATGCATATACACTACACATATCGTCGTAGTGCCTCAAAAGTGAATTCGTGCTGGTTATATTTAACTATTATTCTATTGGATCAAATTGTTGTTTTGAATTATATATTCAAATTGAACATTTTACTTCTCATCGGTTTTACCAATAATGGACAAAGAAATTAAATTATCACGGAAAATAGTATAAACTAGAATTCTTGTTATTAAAAAATATTGTATATTTATTTAAGATCGCTAAGTATTACAAATGGATGAGACAATTAGAAGAACAAAAACGTCAAACAACAGATGATTTTATGGTTAAAAGATTGAACGGCAACATCAAAGCGTATATCAGTTTGATAGACATCGAACAAAAACAATTAGGTAATTGCATTAATAACAATCATTTATCAATTTTATTTTTCTTATTTTAATTTAGATAGACTCTTGAGCAACCAAGAAAATCAAGAACCATAGTTTTTTTCATTTGTATAAATGTATGTGGTAATGTATATCATGTAAAAAACAATGTGTTTGTTTCTTTTTTTTTGTAAATATAAGAGGCACTACCTGCATAACCACCCAGGGCGAACTCACCCTGCCGGATCCTATCGGATCCGTGATTATCCGACATTTTCTGACAGTCGGATCCGATGGGATTTCGACGGTCGGAAACTTTCATTATCCGTTAATTTCCGACGTCGGATATTGTCGGATTCTGTTGGATTCCGGCGACAGAATCCGATGAGATCCGATAGTCAGAAATTGTCGAATCCGATGAAAACC